CTTCAAAGTGTTCCCAAAAAGTCAAAAATTGAAATTTCAAAAAACCCTCCCGGCGTTACTTGGGGAAAGCAATTATCTAACGAAAGAACTTGATTTTTTTAATTTCGGATGATCCAACATCGAGTTATGAGGGACACCGCAATTCTACTTTTTTCCGAGACGCTTCCGAATAATTGCTGCCATTGCCGTATTTTGTAATATTTCTACACGGAAATATTACACAATATTCTTCGAATGTTATACTTTAATATACCATTAGTTTTAATAAATAGATTTTAACTGTGTCGTCAAAAAAAATTCACAAAAATTTTCCGTTTTTTGCATGAATTAACTTTACCCCCCCTTAATACGGATATGTTTTTGAGCTAGAGGTCTAAATGGAATTGTACGCCACTCCGCGCTTTTTTAAGGAGTAATTATAGGCAATTTTTTATAAAATCTTAACTTAAAGCTTAAACTGTGATGTGTAATAATTAGTTCAGTAGTTACTAATTAGGACTCTATTTTAGTAGTTAAATTATTTTTCGGACTATCCCAAGCCCCAGCACCCATGACAGCAATTTAAAACAATTTGTTAATCTAAACATGGCTACGCATTTTCTCTATTATTGACTAAATAATAATCGTAGGAATTATTATTTTACATGTTTAAAATAATCACAACTTTATCTGGATTCTCTAGTCGACTTTTTTTATAGTATTAATCAAACTAAGTTCTAGGTGTATTTAAGGTAAAATTAATTATTTTTTCAAAACTTAAATCGAAGTGTTCTTAGGAACAGCACGTTTGAAGTAGAATGAGTTGTTTTTCACCAAAAATACGAAGGTGTAGAGGCCCGTGTTTAAAATGAATATCATAGTATAGTTTTCATGTTTTGGTAGAGGTGCTACTTATGACTTATGTAGGAAAACCCAAAATAACCTACTCTTTCTGTTAAAACGATTCAACGCGGGTATGTATATCAACTAACACATATATGAGTGTACTCCTTAAAAAACAAAACATTTTTGCAAAGTGGTTTTAAAAATTGATTGGTTTTAACAATGTAATTGCGAAAAAAATGATAACCTCACCGACGCGACGTCGCGATTATTTAAAATCATCAGTAATTTGTCCATAAAAATTATGGGACTGTTGACTGCGCAATTTTAAAATTATATTAAATATATGCTTCGATTTTTTTTATTGCAGTAAAAATAAATAATTAGTTAATTGATAATTAATTTCATTATATATCACACGATAATAAATAATTATTCAAAATAAAACCGAATTGCCAATGTAAAAGACATAATTTTCTATGTATTCATTCAATTCATTCGGTATTAGACGTTTATTGTTAAGTTTTTTTTCTTGTTGTAAAATCTACTCACAAAACTTTAATGTTTTGAAGACTTAAAATTTAAATTAATTATAAAGTGCCATAATCCAATAATTATTTTTTCTTATATTTTCGTTATTACAAAAGCATTTCTTTGAAAGTACAAATTGTATAACTTTTAAGTTAATCCTTTAAAAAGTTGGAAAATCGCCTGCTCATACGATTAACTTAATATTAGAGATATTTGCTTATAGACAACGAATAAATTAGTTTAAAAAAAGGTCGTTATCGACGAAATTGATGATGATGTAGGAAATTCGTAGGTGAATTTAAGATCGGTACAATACATCCTATCCTATTTATTTTTATTATCTTATATCATAATCAGGAAATTGTAATATCAATAACTTTTTACAATGACTATTTTGGAGTCATGACATTAAATTGCAATGTTTAAAATTTGTTTTAAACGGAATATATAAATTTAGAATTATATAACACTGATTAACAATAAGATAACGAGGCTTAGGGGGGTTTGGGACCACACACTACAGCAAATTAAAAACAATTTTTCCATCCAATTAAAATTAAAAAATACGAACTTTAGGGATCGGTGCTATAGAATAGATAATACCTTAGACCAACCAGAGATACTTCAGACTTGAAAATGATTATAAAAATAGTAACCAAGGAGTGGAGAGAGAGGCGTGCCGCATGCGTATGAATTAGTAGCCAAATACTTTAAATGTATTGCCTTATCTTTCTTATTTAAGCTAGGTGTCTGTATTGGTTTTAATTATACATCGTTAATATTTTACGATTCTAAATAAAAAAAGGCTGAGTTTAAGCTTATCAAAAACATGTCAGATTAAATGTACTTAACGGCACGTGTCCAATACACGCAATATAATTTCTGTATAATATTTTAGTAACGTTTCAAGAGAAAAAAAATTTGGTATAAAGGTATAATTGTGTTCAATTTATTCATTTGGAAGATATAATTACTGCTTTGGTTATACAAGCTAATGAATGTATTGAAAAAGATGGGACTAGCTAATGTTTATTCGGACAAGACAGTGACGCGGCTTCGGTGTACAAAGTCCATCGGTCGGGCGAAGACCGGCAGGCGGCAACCGACCGCCGTCGTTTTCCTTGTCTGCTGCAGCAACAAATACTAATTTTTTTTTTATAACACATAATGACAAATATGATATAAATTCTAATATATTTTACATTCTAACCTACTCCTCACCGTCTAAACGTGAGCGAGCTACCAGATTAGTGCCGCGACAAAGGAAAGAGGCTAAAGGGCGGTCTGTGACAGAAATGAAGGGCTGCGGGGATAAAAGATCAATGTCAATTCTTTTTGAAAATGAGATTTTGGTATCAAATTATTTGTATTAATGTATTGTATCTTTTATGCGCTCTAACCAGGGAAAAAATAGATTAGTCGAGAGTAATGACCGTCGGAATTTTAGGCATACAGGCAAAATGTATTACGTTTTGAAATTAAAAACATGATTTTCTCAGAATGTTAAAAAATTGACATTGATCTTTTTTCCCCGCAGCCCTTCAAATGTGCCGTAATAATACTCGCATTTATCATACAAGAAATTATATTGCAAGCGAGTATTGGGCATTGAATAGAAGGGCGTTTCCGTTTTCCGCCAAAACGACCCGCGACCGTATCGCCATAGCCGATTTCCGCCAAAATAAATACAAATTTGTTACCTTATATTTTTAAAGAACCCCTGAAACTAAATCCATAACATAATTTACTGCTTTTCGATTACAGGCTGAATTAATAATTTGTCTATCTATGATACGTTTATCGACAGCACAATGTTCTGCTATATGATTACCCTATATTCTGACGAGTTCATAATTATTAATTTATGTGAACATTTTAGCCGTATACTCTTTGTTGTAGCACCTCCATCATGTAGTTCAATTTTTAGCTGTATATGCGTAGTCAAATTTAAAATTGCTATAAATTAGCATAATATGCTCACAGTTATTTGTAATTACTTAAATTTTTTCCGACATAATAAACAAAAATGGCACTTTGTATATGAATAATTAATTTACAGATACAATAAACAATCGCGTAATTTTTATACTGACGAAATGATATTACTATCAGTTCAGTATATTATATAGATATCCTATGACATGTTTATTAGGTTAACAAAATAAATATTAATTAGGGATATTTTCAAAAAATTCATTTTATAAGACTAAAAGAAAATGCTATAAATAAGGTTCAGGGGTTCTTAAAGCATTTTAGGTTACAAATTTGTATTTATTTTGACGGAAATCGGAATATAATCTTTGGCGGAAAACGGCTATGGTGATAACGGTCGAGGGTCATTTTGACGGAAAACGGTGACACCCGAATAGAATATAAATAAAAAATGTAGGTGAAGCCTAAAAAAGATAATGTTGAAATGGATGTGTAGATTGGCCGCTCACATTAGTTTGGTTTTATATTTTGAGTATAGTTCTAGTCTAATGAAGAAAATAATGTAAGTCAAAAATACTCTGAAGCTTAAACGAATTAACTTGAAAATAAATTGATACGATCGAATTTTATTAATACCTCTTCTTTATAAATAATTGTCTACAATTCGCCCTTTAATAAATAGGCATGAACAGATCCCTTCAATTCTGGAATTTTGGTTTTGAATCTGATATTTCACGTGCGGTACATTAAAATACTTATACAATTATATACATTATATTAAATATTATAATATACTTATAAATATAAATACTACTACAGTACTACGGAGTACTGAGTCAACAGTCACATTGCAATCCTCGACATCTCTAATCAAATAACGTGACAGTTTATTCAAAGTTCAATAAACCTTTGAAATCACATGTATGGTGTTACAACATAGAAATTACCATTTGTATCCATTGGCTAATAATAATAATAACATAAACACCAAGATTAATGTTGTTATTCTGAAAATAATTATTGATCCAATTGAGTAGCGAAGACCTATAAAAAATCAACTATTGTCTATTAACGATTTGTGTTCATCGCATCCAGCTGCTAGCATTCGTATAGTATAATATAGAATAAAGATTACTGTTTCTCGGTATTCGTTTGGTGTGATGATAACGTAACTCGTGATTTTCTGTTTAAGCCAATGGACAAAATACAAATATGGCAGAATAAACAATAGACGAAACGAACATGTGCTCTATGGTGACCGGCTGTGATAATAATTCACCTGTGTATTGTGTATAGTGTATTGTGTAATTATTTATAACAATTCTACAAGTATGCGTACTTATTACAACGAACGGTGTGAGAGGCCACTATCTGTAAACTATAAGTAAAAAACGTCTGTTAAGTGGCACGCTGTACGCAGAAGTTTAAACAGAGAGAGAACTGTATAACAGGCGTTATCCGTAAAGTATAGCAAAAAAAAATAAAAAATAGAAGTAATTGTAGTAGCAACACCGGTGGATATAAATAATCGTAACCATACTCCAATCTCCATAGACACGAATACATCGAAACTATCGATTGTATACGTTTGATGGTTAACATCGATTGGACTCGTTGTGAAAATTATGTCGATCGTTAGGATAAACACTTATTTCGACTAATTTTTATAATGCATACATTTGCTGCGGTTGGTCGTTTTTATTATTTTTTATAATTCCGTTGGCGGTCAAATGTCAAATATCGATAGTGAGTAGTGACGGTATCGACGGAAATCGGTATATTTAGGGTCTCTCTTGCACGCTTTCCCTGTTGACCTGTACCGCTTATCGATGCCTATGTTTGCAGCTCTCTGCCGTTGCCCGTTCATTCAGTAACCATAGTTGTAACCATACATGTAGCACATCGTTTTTCCTGTATATTTCAACGTGATCCCAAGATGAACTGATCCCGTTCACCATCCAACCCGCGCACGGCGTGTGCCAAAAGTCAAGAAAAATGTTTAACGTTAAAATGAGGTGAGTTTTGCACACGGAGTGTAATTAGTAAATATTGTGAATTAGTCCTAGGTATTCGTTTGTCCATAGTTGTCGTCCATTTTTGATTTGGCTCCGTGTAATTTTGTAATAATGTTAGTAGGTTATCGCTATTAAAACGATAATAGTATTCTTCTCTTAGAGATGACAATTATAACTGTCTCGTTTTTTTTAATACTGCTTTCTCGCACAGTATTATAATGAATCGCAAACCAAATACGCCCATCTTATCTGAACACCGATAACACTCATAAGATAATATTGCTTGTATATTATTATATTTATTAGTTATTACTATGATATTGAATATTGATAGTTCATACCCGTTGACCAAATTCATTAACGTCGCCAATACTTGGCATGTCATTGATGACCACTTCCTTTTCTAAAACCCTTTCTTAGTATCAAATCCAAGTACCTATTTCCTATATAAAATTAATTTAATGATTTATTTTAAGTAGCTAGTCATAGGCTATTAAATTAATACTGAAATCAGTTTCATGCAAGCGTAATCATAACAGATAATGTACAAAAAAGTGTGCTTTTACAGGTTGAATGTGTGCAATTTTAACGGGAGTAGTCTAGAGTACACGAGTTATACAAGGATTTTTTATACTAAGCGATACATTTGAAATAACCAATGTTTTTATACAGTTTTTGTGTATCAAAAATCTTGATAAATTAAAAGAAAATTCACTGTGTATAATTTTTTAACTTTTAAATATATAAACCAGGATGGTTCTTAAATTTGACATGGCGTTGGATGACCATCATTCAGCTTCAAATATTGAAAAAATATTATTCTTATTTTAAGTTTTTTATTTCATTCCCTTAGGCTTCCTGTTTGCACATCAAATGTATACTGTCACTCTGCCCAGCCTGGCGGAGTGCACGGCCATGGCGCCCAAAGGCGACGCGGTCCCGGCAGTCTGTGCCAAGTGTATTCATTTGAGTGCAAACAAGGGAAACTAAGAAAGTGAAATAAAAATTAGAAAGATATTTTTTCAATATTTGAAGCTGAATGACGGTCATCCAACGCCATGTTAAATTTCAGAACCACTCTAGTACACACGCATTCCCCATACTTACTTAACTACTATTTATCTATACATTTTTTAGATTTAATTCCTAACTTATAAAGGGTCCCCTCCTCCCCTCAACTGAGCAGATCTTTTGAGCACTGTCTGTTTGTCTGTTTCACAGCACTGCGGAGATCTAACCAGTAGTGTAACTAGAAACTAAAGTGCACAGGAGCAAGATATTTTTTTGCATTCCATATTACGTGTTAATTTGTATAGTATAGCATACAAAAATGCCTTAAATAAGAATGCACCCTGGAACAGCTGCCCCCCCCCCCTTACGCCCATGGTAGCTATGCCACTGAATCGAAACTGATACCTCTAGTTTCGTGGTTATATGCCACTGCGCCAAATATGTTGACATATTGGAAACCTAATTAATAGTCAGCTCAACGTTTTTTTAATGAATAAAGTTTTCTGTTTTTAGCGAAAGTACATTTCTACCATATGAAATGTACCAATATACTTAAGGTATTAAAAAAAAAATATTTATGTGTACAAGTTTAAAATGTAATAATTATTACTTTTTATAAGTCTTCTAGGTTATATTGGTTATTATCATAAAATATTATTAATTATCAACACGGTAAACTATTTTGCGATTATATTTGAAGTAGGCTATTAAAATGTCATTTGTATATTAAACATAATGATTGTGATGTCAAGCTAGTTTTTAATATGTTTTTGAATTTTTTTATTTTTAATCGCATTTCAAAACTGATATTTGTTGAAACCCTTGTTTGTAGTGGAGTAAACTAAAAGTTACAGTTTAGCACAAATTAATGTGTTTAAATTACAAATACTTATTTTATCAAATCAAATATTGTCTTTTTCTTGTTAATTACCTAGACGGTGCCATCACAAGCTCCCTTCACTTCTCCCTTAAACAATTTGCCATTTTAAAAGAATCTTTTCAAATATCTGGCAACCAATTAGCAAATACCTATTATAGTCACCTTTAAAGCAATTTTTGAAATTTAAATAATTTTAATCGATATATTTTTATTATACATAACTAAACACTTATTAAACACTAAATTTTTTTTTAACTGTCACAAAAAACCATAAAAAATCAAGGTCATAAATAAATCATTCAAATCTCATTTTTGAAAAAAAATCAGTTCACCGGTACCTCTTAACATTGAGGTAGAGCTTTAGATCTTTCAGGATCATTTTGTTTTGGATATGAACTATATATTTTACAAGTGGGAGCAAACCTTTTTTTTTTACGGCCAGTCAAATATACATGCATACATAATAAACTTACAAGTATGAGTTCATATTATTAATGTTTTGATTTTTTTTTTCAGTGCCATTATGGCAAACCTATACAAAGATGGTGCCACCATCAACAATATCGATACGTTGCAACAAATCTATTCCAGCATTTATTTCAATCCATACAATAGCATATCAAAGACGTTACAAAATGTCAGTTATCCCGCAAGTAGCTCAACAGAGTTGCTTGTTGCCCAAGGGCAACGAAGCAACTAGTCCATTGTCCTCTCAAGAAATATGTAAATTAAACGATACAGAATGGGATAAGTTAACAAGGAGTGACATGGCTGGAAATTTATTGGAATATTTGGATAAACTTTATAAAGATGATGGTATGTGTATTTGCCTTGTTATAACTTGTAATAAATATATATAGAGTTTGCAGAAAGATTTTTTAACATACAGAAATAGAGGTTTTTCTAGATGTTGGATTTTTAGAAAACTAAAATGCCATTAATGCTCTAAAATGTGACACTGTAAAACACTGTCATAAGAAAATTTGAATTATGTTATCTGTTTATTAAAGAAAAATAACATGTTTGTAAAAATATTCGTATCAAATTATAGATTTCCCAGCTACAAATTATACATTGTGGCTATTACTTAATGAATATTTTGTAATACAAACAAAAGTTTTAACTTATAAAAGCCAAATCACATTTTTTTACTTTTTTCACAATAAATACATTTATTATCATCGTTTTGCCACAATTTGTGGGTGTTGTATCCAAAGTAAATTTATTTATAGTTAAAAAGCGTTACATATTTTCATATAACAAAAAAGGGTTAACAGTATATCTTTTGAAAATTTAAATGTGGATATACAAACGTTAAATTATTATATTGGGAATGTGCATATAGTTATTAGGTTATTTTCAAAATTACATTTATTTCTGGAAACTAGTATCCTTAATATTCGCGCTTAAAGTTTTCCTGTTTTAACATGTTTAAAGCAAAATACAACATTAGCACAAATAGTTGTTGATTTAAATTGTGAAGCACGTCATTATTATCAACTATGCAAAGATTAGCTTGTACTAATCTAAAGAAAGCTGCTCAGGTGTCTGAAAAAAGATAGATAACAGGCGTGATTTTATGGTTTCGATCAAAAATATTCCCTGGGCTACACTCCACAGCAGCTTTGAAGTATTTTAAATACTAATCTAATTCTATATAACTGGCCAAAGACTGATGCAATTATTGTGGAGTGTTTAGTCACTTTTGTATTGTCAAAGTAATAAGAATTGACAAACTTGTACATTAATTTAATTTATTTAACCACAACGAGCAGGTATCTTCTTTTTTATTTAAAAATTTGTACTTGTAACAACTAATAATGTACGATACACTGTATCCAAATGCTGCCATATCGGATATGGTTTCAGGTAACTTATATTTTGTTATACTTTATAATATAATTATAAATAATAAGTATAAGTAATATTTTAACATTTTAAAAATAATGATCAAAATAGCAATTTAATAGTGTATTTATGTTAATATTTTTAAACTTTTGTTACTTGGTTAATTTTTTAGCAAAACATTATGAAGATTTATTTATGTATACATATATAAAGTTTGTCTCCTTATATAGTTAACAAGTTCAATGTACTTGAGGTTAAATTTACATTAAATCGTACATTCATATTTAGTAACATATAATTAAAATTGAATTTGCAATAAAATAATTTCACTACATTTATAATATAAAATTAATATATTGACAATGGGTATAATAGGTTAAAATATTAGTGAATACCATGGACTATTTTTCATAATTATGTGTAACATATTTTAAAGATTTGATATAAATCTAAGTATTTATTTAGCGTGATGCATTATTTATTGATATTTAGTATTATTATTTAGATTTCGTTGTAAGATATTTTAGGTTCGTTATCATGAAAAAACGCCTTTATTAACAATATTATGGTAGGCTTAAAGATTTTTAAAGTAAAGCATTTTATTTTCTTCACAGCTTTTTTTCTTTGAATTCTATAAACAATAAATAATATAGCTAGTCTACATTTATTTAGCAAAAAAAAAAACATATTTTCATCATATGTACCTATATAGTTAAGAAACAATTGTGGAGTCTATAGTTGTATTATGTTTAGTCAGTAATGGTCACTATAGCTAAAGGTAAAACTAAAATTATAATAATATTTATTACTAAAAAAGGATTAATCAAGATCATCACATGATCATCGTATGAGTCATGATTTATATTTTTTAAATATTGCCACTTGGGCATTTTTCGAAACGACTAATTCAGTTAAAATAAACAAATAAAATAAAATTGAATGTTTATCTAATAAGGTTTGGTATTAAAACCTAGGTTTAATTTAAAAGTTGTATATTTGAGTACAATTAATGCTATAGGAATTGAATAACATTCTTATAGTAGGTATTGTTTTGTTTATGACGTAGTTATTTTTTTATTTGTCCATCAATGGACTATAACAAAGTATGTGTGGTTATATAAGAATAGTGAAGGACGTTTTACTTGTTTTTGAGTTGTGGATGGCGTTAATAATAATATTAATATTTAATAAATAATAATATATTGAATATCGGTTTATTTCTATGTTATCTTACGACCATCTATTTCGTTATTTCGTTTTGTTTATTTGACACACATTTTAATGGCTCGTTAAGAAATAATCGTCGTATCCCTACAAAAAAAAAATTATCCCTACTCTCGACAACAGCTACTGGTGTAATTTCTTACTGATTGTGTGATATTTTTATTTATTTAATCTAACGACAATTAGGAATATGCACCGGCGTGGTGCCTGCATGCCTACATATTTTCATTATAATAAATATGTATATATATATATATATATATAATAATTATTATTATTATAATTAAAAAAAAGAAGGAGCGGTTCACCTTGCCCCCTGCGCCGTATCAGTGCGCGGTATGTTTTACTACATTATGTATAGAACGGTCGTGTGTGTGTGTATATGTATGTTATCTGTGCTTTTTTTATAAATGTTCGCATTATCAATAATAATAACATGGAAGTGTATATATGCGAATCGAAGAAGTCACGCATATTTAGGGCATTGTCGGGGAGTATATACTATACATGATAAATACCTATTATCGGCGTTACAATCTGAGTAGTAAAGAGAAGGGAGTGTTTATTGGCAAAGGAAAAATAAAATAATATACTTTGCCGACACAAGGCAGTTTTCGACCATCACGCGGACCCGACGGCGCGCCAACCAGTTGTTCGTTTGAAAGTTCACCAAACGGTCGTGTAATAACTGATAGATGTATTTTCGTTCACATGGTAGCTCGCGTCTCATCACATAGTTGTGTGATTATGAAGTTCAACTATCATTACACCTGGAGCAGGCAGATTATATTCAATTCGCAAAAATTGGTGAAAAGAAGGTGAACGATAACACACCAAGCACCGTCGTTGACGAAGAAAACGTCTATTCCTTTGTAATTACAAAACCAAAAGAAAGAAATAAAAAAACTGTAAAACCAAACATTTTGGGGGCATTACATTAAAAAAAAAAAAAAATACATTTCATTTTTTGTTTTTACTATTTCTCATTGCTATAGATAAATATATTTTTTTTATTCTAATTGTTATAAAGTATATTTTTGGTTTCGTGTCATAAGTTACACGAGTGTGGGTACTTTGTCTTACTATTGCACATGGCAGCCGGAATGATTTCAGCTCATTGGTGTTCGGGTACGTTTAAAACAAAACATTATGTATCATTTTACTTAAAATATAATATTGTACTCATTTGGTTGTAGTATATAAATATAACTATTCAATCGTTAGCTGTATAGACTGAATAGCCTTGGGAACATGTTATACGCGTTAATAGTTGTGTGTGTATATGGAATTGAGGTACAAAGTATTTGTATATTATAGTTGTCAGTGAATAATATTATGAACATTGGAAATATATTGTTTATCATAATAAATGCAAGGATATACAAATTCGTATTGCCTACTGTCTGCTAAATGTAAGATAAACGACGTTTTCTGGTTATAATTTTAATAAAATCAGCATTGTTCGGGTAGTTTTAGATTTTAAATATTTCTATTCGTGACAGATAAAAAGAGACCCTTTTCCGGGTAAAATTGACAAATACATTTTTTTCGAAATTAATGTGTATTCTTAAGTAGTGTTCACTGCTTTAAAATGATGTTTAATTACCTACTACTGTGGCAGATATCCGGTTTTTATGTGTTTTCCAGTGAATGAAAGACCACATATTTTCCTATTGGAATTTCGGTTAATTTATTTCAGTCTGTTTAAAACTAGTTATCTCGTTAAAATCTTCATTTTTATAAATATGGTACAATGCGTGACTGCTTCAACGGTGATACTATATACATCTGACCAGCTATAGTAGCAAGGCCATAGTGAACATGAAAAGCCTTTTACATGATTTTATGAGAGTTCCTAAACTGCTTTCTGCCCCCGTTTATTAAAAATTATCCACCGACTTGGACGCCCTTGTTTGCTTTGTTGATTTTTGTTAACGACGTATTCGCAATCATAACCTTCAAACTTATAATATCTGATTGTGTGATGTATATAGTAAGTACTTGTAGTTTTTATCAATAGAATTGTACAAGTCCGGTCATGAAAGAGGAGGTTGACCGTCGATTGCGACCAAGTCAACATCACGTGTTATGATTTAAAAAAAAAAATTTCACGGGTCGTGATATTTGATAACTAAGAGATAAAATATAATACATTATGACTATATATTACCCCGTGGTCCTCCCCTAAAAAAAGCGAGGTAACTCGGTCATTGATAACTGCCCAAATGTAATTAATGTGTGCTACTAACGTTTGAACCGAGAGTTAACCTATTTTCAATTAACGTTATTATTTATCTAGTCGTTCAATGTTTATGCGTAAAATATATCTTTGTTATTTGCTTAACTAAGCATGTGGTAACTTTTGTAACAAATACTTACTGTTCAACTTGTCTGCGTGTTAGAAAAAATTTGCTAGGCTTATACATTAATAAGCTAGGTTTTTTTGGGTTTAGCATTTCTTTTTGCAAACTGATTTCGATTACGGTGTTTACTTTTATGGCACAAAACGCACACTTAGTGTATAAAAAAAATATTAATGTAAAAGTAAAACCATTATATGATATTTCTTAGTATGTAATGTAATACACGTAACACGACACTCCAGATTAATTTTTTAAAATTCTCTTATACTCATAAGTCATAACGTAAACACAGAATTATGTAATAGGAGTGGGAATTTATAAGATACTATGTGAAAACCAAGATTTTGAAGTAACAAAAAAATCTTGACTTATTGACTACGATGGGATATGACCTCTTACAGTGTATATTTTTATTTTTTTTACGCATGCATCCTTTGCGTTCCGGGTGGAGGGGGGGGGGGTACTTGCCTGGGGGCATTACTTCCCCCCGGATCGTCGATGCTCTTTATTGTACAAAATTAATTTACAACTTTCTTGAGAGGTTGTTCCACGCACCCCCTCTACATACAACTAAAAACTATACACGTCAACCTTACTCTAACACCCCCTCTCCGGGTGGGGGCCCAATAACAATATTAACATTGGAACCCGGAAGAATTCATATACCTACAATTTTTCTCAATACTACTTAATACAATTAATATAATAACTTAAATACATATGGTCGGCAGCCGGTTCGCAGGCCGGTGTCGCGCGCACTTACAGTGTATATTATAACCTCATAATAATTATATATATATGTATAAAATATTGTAAATAATTAAATTGTAACTGATGGCCATAGATGCCAGGTTTTATTTTAAGTTCAATAAAAAAAAAAAAATTATATATAAAGGGCACAGGAGAAAAACGGTAGTTGTCACATTATGAACATTTTTTTTTCAATTTATGTCAATAGATTTTTTAAATAAATACATTTATTATTAGAGTAGCATTTAATGTATTTTTTTTTTTGTTCTTATGTAAGAGGATCTAGATTAGAAAGCTTTAAAAAATGGATGCATTTTTAAGTTTAATTAATATACTTATACCTAATATGCCTCACCAGTAGGTTTAAATTGTAACACTGTGATTCTAAAAACACACTGTACTTGTAAAAATAAAAATAATACGTATGGCAATAAAACTACATGCAAATTACATGTGTAAATATGGTAAAAATTACCGTTAAAAAAATGTATTCATAATATTTTAATTAATACATTAATTTAATACACCAAACACGTGTTAAATTTTCATAACAATAAATATTATACTTGTTAAAAAAATGTTATATGTTCACTTCTCTTAGGTTTTTGTTTAAATACTTTTTTGTTAACTAGTTCGTTTGGAGCTCAGAATATTTTAAATAATCATTGAGTAAGATACCAATCGTCCGATGTTCTTTGTTAGTATTGCTTGGATTATTTTGATTTCGATTGACATTTAGCTTTATCTTTTTTATTCTATCAATAATTAATAGGCTTACGAATTAAACTATAAAGGTCCAGTGTTTAGACTGTTTTTTAATCAACTATTTGACTTCATTATTATACATATTAATAACGACTATAAATCATATATTTTTTTTCAAGTAATATTGTTCTCTTGTGGACTTTTCCCCGAACGTTTTCGATAAATTGGAGAGGCTTTGGAGATTACCTATTTAGAATTAATTGTATTAGAATATTTTATTTTATTAAAATAAAGAGTGTTTTAAAACAAAATATTGCTTAATTAGTTAGGAGTGGGAGGGGGTTTAGCGACAAAACGATCTCTTTGTGCGTCAATTACAGTGTTGGTAACTGAAAAGAAGTATGTAACTCGTATTAACTGAGTTATTTCAAAGATTCCGTGAATCAGTATTTTAGTGTCCCTTGGACTGTTATTGAGACAATGCTGTCTTCTATTTTTTAATGGATCTGTTACATACGGTTAATGCGCACTATTTATATTAATAGTTTACATATTATGTCTATTGGCCGTCTATATGATAATTGAGACTGACCGAGTGTACCCCTGTTGACCCGTGCGGCAAATATAAAAGTAAAAAAAAAATGTTAGAGATTGGGTGTGGAAGCTTTATAAAATTGTTTCCCCGGGGAACTAAATATTTGAATATCACTTTTTTTGTCGGTTGATCCGTTATTATTATACTTTGTGTTGAATAATATTTTGAAACCTATGATAAATATTTTGTCGATTCGAACATGAAAATATATCGAGCGGTTCAAATGATAACCTTACATGAGTTGAACAACAAAATCTTTCTACATAATCCTAGTCGCCTTGCACGTACAGTGACAATTTAAAACAATTAACTCGTTATCTTCCGGGACCTTTTCAATTAATGCGCGAGGTTGATACTGCGAGGACATCTTTTTCTATCCCCCTTTCTCTCTCTCTAATTATGAAGCTACCATTTAGATAAGAGACATAACGGTTGGCTCAACGGCCGATGATCTTGTACGAGTGATATTTAGGTCACTTTTGTAGTAGAAGGTCAAAACGGCTTATCGTTATTCTTTGGTATAAAAATTTAGCTTGGCCACGTCGTGACTACTATGAATTTATCAATCTCACGCCGTTTTGTTCTAGGCGAAGTGCTCTTTGTAGTCGTCAAAAGAATATTGCAAATGAAAAATAAAAGAGCAAACGGTGCATTGGTGGACATATTTAATTGGAAATTTAAACGCTTTTTCAATCTTGTCATTTAAACAGCCAATCAAGGTGAAACTTAGTCCAACAGTTATAAACCTATTTCATTTCACGTGTACTCAGCGTGCAGTATCTTATCATTTTGTTATTATACTCTTTAGTATAAAAAAAAAACACCTTACTCTTTTACTTAAACAACAATAATAAAGTAACATGCAATTATGTTTCCCATAAACGGCCCTTCTTGTAAGATTAATAAAAGGACTTTTGGGGGACATCACAAAAGTCGGGTAATTTTATAGTCATAATTGTTAACACATATATGTATCGCAAAACCGTTGTTATATTATCTAAATTTTTTTTCAATTACAATTTAATTGAAACATAATTACTTTCGATAATACATCAAAGATTATATGTGTAAATAGTTCAGTAGAATTCGAATATGTAAAAACACACTGATTACCCAATGTTATATGTGTTTGGAAAAACGATAATATTATAATTTTTAAGTATGGGTCAATGGGAAGATCAAATAACAAGTCGTAACGACAATAATATTATTTGTACTAGACAATGTACTATGAATAAAATGTATCATTTGTTATTGTATACTAATTTTAATGTTTAATGCTTTCTTGCAGAATCGGAATCTATTTCAGACTGGTTGAACGAAGAAAAATTCATCGACTTACCCATATTTGATGATTTTATGACCAACACTTCGCCAAACCACGTTGAAATGAAGCCAATAGAGTACCACAAATTCGTTCCGTCTAATAAGGCTATCCAATACCAACCGTATACCCCTCAACAATTTACCCCTATGTACTGTCAGCAGACCAACATCCAGCAAAAGTTCAACTACATATCAGCCGAATCCATGACACCTCCTGCCTCTTTGACACCGCCCGAAAGTCCTAAAGACACTGACGTTCTTATGTCAATGCTAGACGACATGCAACCCGAAGAACTTACACAATTGGTGGTCGATGATAATTCTCTTTCGGATTTCATGTCATCAGATGCGAGCAGTCACACTGATTCTTACAGCGATGTCGTGCCTGCTAAAAGAGCAAAACCGTATTCTGCGAGAACGCCCACCGAGGAAAAACGTTTACGTAAAAAAGAGCAAAACAAGAATGCAGCTACCAGGTACAGAATGAAGAAGAAGGCCGAAATCAAAGAGACGGTGATGGAAGAGAAAGAATTGATGCAGAAAAACGATAAACTCAAGGACGAAGCTAAAGAACTTGCCAGAGAAATAAAATACTTAAAATCTTTGTTACGGGACGTTTACAAGGCCAAGGGGCTATTAAATTAAGCGAACAACTTTGCAAGCTATACGATCTGATATTTATATATTTATAGTTTTTTGTTTTTATCAATTGCCTCTTAGGCGATAGCCCTTATTGATCAACGCAGCAGGTATAAGATAATGAACTTGGTTGTTTTTAGTGCAGTATTAGGGTTTGGATATGCTTTAAATCAGTTTGCAGCCATTATCTCCTTGTAAATATATCTTATTCTATTTTTTACTTTTTAAACATTATTTTTTTTATGAACTTATAAAGAATTAACAGGTGTCTAATAGTTGTTAAGCGTACTTTACTGTATTTTTATGATGAATTCATTAAATTTGCTTAAGTTGTTTATTTTAATTTTTTTTGTGTTTGTTATATGTAACAATATTTATTTGTAACAAAGATACATGTAGAATATACTTTGTTGATTTCGTTTTGTCCATTTAATTAGCTTAATTAAGTACAATTCAGATTTAATGTGAAAGTTTAGAACTTTTGAGTACGCTATTTATTTTACACTTGTTTGTCTTGCATGTAAAAAGTAATATAATTATCATTTATATTATGAATTTCTACTTTTATTTACTTACCAACAATTAAAAATGCCAAATGGAAACTATGAACAACTTAAGCATACAGATTAAAATTATTGATTATTCACCACCTAATATTTAGCTACAAATACAAATTGTTGATTCTAATTAGAATTTTATCACTATATATATTCTTTTGGATTCTAATATGTATATTATTATATATATTTTTTTATAGTGAATAAAAAAATGTTCATTATTTTCTTATTATTTAGATAATGGAGACAATTAATCATACAGATTTTTAAGAATGTACTTAAACCCATAACTAAAATATATTCCTTTGCAATATTTTATTTTATTTGTAAAAAATGTATTCTTTTAATAAGATTTCATGATAAATACTATATTATTGTATTCACTATATTCCATACTTATTGTATGTGACACGAAACTAAAATATACTATTTAAATGTATAAAAAAAAATGCTTGTTGATTTTATTGTTTTTTTTTTATAGACTATTAATTATAACTAAGTTACGATTTAATGTAGAAGTCAGAACTATAATCATGTTTCTAAGGTAGGTTTATTATTCAATTTCACAATAAATGATAAAAAAACACTTAATGAAATGTAGGTTTTAAAAGTTACAATTATGGAATTGGATGCAGTTTTACTGTCATGTAACTAATGCATTTGTTTTATATCCGATTTATATGTTATGTTAATTAGTACCTAACAAAGTGTAATATGATCAAATTGTGTGTTAAATTTCTATAAAGGCAAGTATTTAGTCATAGATCTGAAATTTCACCTTAACCACACATAACTTAATTACTCGAGAAATAAAAATTATTTCGCTATTTATATTTAGGTTCAGTAATATTCATAATTTATAGTTTCAGATGGTCTACCTTTTACCATATTTCAATAAAACATTGTAGTTTGATTTATGTTCTGTTTGAGAGGTAACTATTTTTGTATAAAAAATAAAAACTAAGTAAAAAAAATCTTTACTGATTACAGAAGTTCTTAAATTTAATTTTCTTAATGTAATTAAGCAGACAACCAATGGCTCATCTGTAGGAGTTGGAGTAAATTGAGGTAATTACAAACAAATGTAGAAAGGGCAAGTACAAAATGTTCTATAAAAAATAATAATAAAAAAAAAAAAAATTGTTAATATTTGTCTTTGACAGTTATACTCTATTTTGGTATGCAAACATAGACAATATAAAAATAGTTACGTTGAATACCTACTTAGTACGTCTGAAGTTGACTGAGTGTGAGTGTTTTAAATTAACTAGGTACATGTTATTAATTTAATCGAAAAATAAAAATCATATTAAATTGTATTAATGTATATTTTTAACCATCACCTAATCACACAATATATAAACATAGTTGTCATCATCAGTCATCAGATGCTCTAAATTTGTATTCAGAAGGAATTTCTTCGAAATATTTCTTAATCAGTTATCATTATACGGAATATAGGTCACAATGATGTTTTATAAATTATTTTTGATGATGAAAATATTGGATGAAATGAAACTTGTATAACATAAATTATTGAATACCTACATATGTATGTATAGGATTATAATTTATAACTATTATATTATAATGCATATTAAAAATATAATAATAAATAATAATATGTATGTATACTTACTCATGATGATAATAAACAATGATGAAACGAAAACAATAATGTTGCAAATAACGATATGGAATAGTTGAGTGGTTTTTAAGATAATCTTATTATAATACAACAAAAAAAATAATAATTACTTTATATTATATAAAAATCACGAATAGTGTTATAAATTGATGAGGACGTCTCCTTGACTCATTAAACATATTTTCTGATACCTAATCCAATCCATCCAGGTATTTATTTCAAATTATAATCTAAAACATAAGTTATATTCCTTTTAATCCGTCCGATTTTTTTCTAATTAAAAAAAACCAAATATACCTACATTAAAATATGACAAAGTAAATTATGCAATACAATTATTTTTTATTGCCAGGACGGTGTAGACCAATCCAGTCTCTTTCCGACTTCTAAACATCACATTCTACTCCAAATTTCGCCATTTTTTACCTGCCTTCCCACATAATTTACCAACAGTTCTTATTCTCTCCAACCCAGGTCTAAAGTGAGCCACCCAGTAGGAACATCAAACGAACATGACAACTACAATCCAGCAGGGAGGAGCAGCCACGATCAGGTCAGGCAAAATTCGTCGGCGGGGTAGTGTGAAAAATAATTTATAAAAAATAATTATACATGAAAAAAGAAATCAATAATTCAAAAATTGTTTAAAAAGTGCAAAATGTTTTAAAAAAATCATATTAAAAAAAAGTTAGTATGAGAGACAAAACAAGTTTTAAGAGAATTTTGCAGGAAATAGCATGGATAAAATAATATTTTATAATTCAAATCGAAAAAACCTAAATTATCGGAGTAGGAACAAAATGCCAAATATCGGGTTTTTATCACCTTCTATGTAGAATATGACTACTTGGAGTGCGACAATTAATTTCGGAACACCCTTGTTGGCCATTTTAGATGACGTTTCGCCAATTCCAACAACGACTTTGTTTTTGTTTGTATTTGATTTTAAATTATGCTGATCACAGAACCGGAGTCGCACCGTGAATTTTAATCTGAAGGACAATTAGCTTGAAATAAGGATAGATCACGTACAATAATAAACTTAATTGATTAAAGCGATATTAGTACTTTATGTAGTCTTAACTTGAAATCATGTCGACCAGCCAGAAGCACCGTGAGTACGCTGGAGAACCAATGCGTGAGAAGGATGACGATGAACTTGCGGGTATTGGACCAGTACTGTCTTCCAGACTTAAGCAACAAGGATTTACTAAAGTATGAATTTTTTCAATTAGAAAAAATACGAAAAGTGTTAGGTATTGAATAACTAATGTTGCACAACATTTTATCAGTTTCGTAAACCGTGTTTGGAGTAAGGAAAGCACAGTGTTCTAAAAAGGTTTTTATGGAACTAATAGTTTTGTGATTCCAAAATCTATTTTGTAAAGTATCATTTTGTCAAAATTTGTATTCCAATAAATAAGTATACAAAGTTATGAGAACTATTTAAATAAATAATAATAATTTTGTAATTTTCACTTTAATTCCAAGAACAATCGCAAAAGGAAATTCAGAGGTCAAGTAGAATCACAACGCATAATTAATTATATCGAAGAAAAGAAAATAATACGTATTATTAACGCGATATATTTTATATTATGATTCAAACATTAAACACATTACTTATTATTGGCGATTGGTGTGTAATATTATATTATTTTGGAATCAATTTTGTGTGCAGTGTTCTAAAATCATTCATAGTCTGTCTACACAACATAGTTTAGTTTTCAGCATAAGAGAAATAACTCTGAAGGTCCTAGAATATAGATATTTTTATTTAAATATTAGTTTTATTTTTGTACGATAATTATTACAGGCTTATAAAGTTTTGGACCAATTTCTGTTTCTCGGGAAGAATCAAGAAATGTTTTCTACTTGGTTGAAGGGCACTACTAAGTCAAATGCTAAACAAGCGAAAGTGTTATGTATGCCTTGAAGCGTGGTGTGAGCAATTTCTTTGAAAATGCAGTGGCCAGTGGGTACATAGTAATTATTATGTTGTTATTATTGCTGTTCAATTATTATAAAAATTGTCTTAAATAATAATGTTTACAAAAATACTTAAATTGCGGTTTGTAATCAGTAATGTGTTTTAAGAAAAATGTATTTAATTTTTGTGTTTTTTAATGAAAAATAAACATTATATTACATGGTTGTTATTATTGATATTGAAGGACATTTTAAAATGATTTATAATAATATTATGAGGCAGACATAGCCTGTATTATATTGAGTATTGAATATGTTAGCCCTGTCACAGATTAGATAAAACTATTTTAACTAATCTGTGGTCCTATGGTTTACCACTGTGGAAAAAAACAACAATTTTTAAATGTAATTGTCATCTTTTAGGTACCTACTATTGATACCTAAGTTACTAGGTAGGTAGTAGGTACTAATTAATGAAAATGTTAAGTCACGAATAGTGTTTTTAAATGTACTACCTATATTTTATCTTGTTTTATTATTGAATAATAAATCAAACATCTAATATGATTACGGTAATTTGCCAATTATAATAATAGTGGTACCAGGTACTAATAAAAATATATTATTCATATTGTAATAGTGTAAAGGGAATGGGAATTCCTCGCGTGACCCTCGTGTTGGCAACACTGTGGTGGCAATCTCTAGCAGCTCGGTGTATTTACAAAATTAAGCATTGAGCATTATCAGACTGTTAGATATAGTGAGGTGGAGTTGACGTCGATTCGCCTTCGTCAAATGTAAAATAAAATATTGTTCCTGTTTAGTAATTTTAATTAAAAAACAAACAAGTATTTTCAATACAAATAGCAGGGTAAGTAATTAATTAAAAATTGTTTCATGTCTGTCTAGCTTTATATACACCTCGGCTTTCCATTTCTGTTTGTATTTCAAATTTAATTTGGCAAATCCGACTGATTGTATATATATTTTTTTAATATTATCTTTTTGTTATTGTTTTAATAGGTACATTTAAATATTATAATTTAAGGGAAATACTGAACGTAACTGATATGGATAATTGACTATTGGAGTCATTTAATAAATGCTTATTTTATTCGTAAGTACGTTTATAAAATAAATAACATTTTTATTGGTTTTAATACATTGACTTCAATAACATAATTAACCACGTTACTTGTACTCTATAAACTTGAACAACAATAAATAACAATATTGTTCACTGTACTGCGAGGGTTAAGTATTGTTATAATGTATTAATTTTATTTAGGTATCAATATAGAGATAACATTTGTTATATTATAATTCAATGTACATGAACAGGTGTCCAATAATGAAAACACCTGCTAGTCTGATCACGATCGGCTTAATTAATAATTTATTTTGCTACTTAATAATCCAATTCCCAGCTACCTTATCATGTCTCTATTCTATACGTATATTTTTTATTACGTATTGTATTGAAATATAAGCACTATGTGTTCTTTAAATATAGTGGTTTTACAGTAACAGACATAGATAACTAAATAAGTTATTATAATATTTTAGTATGCATTAAATTCACATATGTTTGTCATATTATTGTGTAATTTTTAGGGAGCTACTTTTAATATTTTATTTAATTATATTCATATAATCAAATTCATGTGTTACATATGTTTTAATTAAATTAAATTACCATTATGGTTAAGAGGGTATGCTAAAAAAATGTATTGTATGCTAAACATACTGTTGAATATTATCAATTTTAACTATGTAAAGAACAATGCATTTGTTTTAAGTTAAAACATATTTTTTTCTTATTCTATATAGTCATTAGTAAACAGTTTTGAAATTTATCATTTTCTTTAATAAAATAGTTGAATCGGGATATTGTATTCTTGTAAATGTTAAATAGGTAAATGAAAACTGTAAAGTTTTATGATAATAACCTATACTATAGTTTTCTAATGTCTATTAATTGTGTAAAAATATTATTTACCGTAGAAGAATATAAATTAAATAGATGTTAGTTATCAGAGCTGTGTTGGGTTAACTTTTTATCATTGAGAAAGACCTGCATTTCATTTTTTAACAAATTTTTTATTGTCTTTTTTTGGTACATAAAATAAACATTATTTTTATACTGTTGTAATTTAAATGTTCTTTCCTTTTTTTTTTTTAGAATGGAGCTAAGAGGGTTCCTACAAATTATTCAGTTACCAAACTGTATCCAGAAAATAGACATCTTTTTGTTATAAGAGTTCAGGTAAGAGTAAAATATTTTTTTATTTTTGTCAAAAGTTCATAATAATATTTTCTTGTTTCTAGTGATAAACTTTTATAAATAATTAAATTATATATAATTATGTATAGAACATATATAATTATTTTATTTATATACTAATAATCTAAATTATTAAAATAATTTAGTAATGGACATTAACCGCAATATACTATCATTATTTTTGTTATGTACTGTGAATAAGGCATATTACACATGTTTATAGTTAAATAAACAACACTAATACCTTGTTTATCGATATAGCAAGGTGATCTTTAATGTTAATTTTTTATTAGGTAGCTATTAAGTCAACAATGATGAAATGTTTTTAAGTTGTTTCAATTGATTACTTTTACATATTATAGCTGGATAATCTGAGTGGTCGTATTTTAGTTTGAAATTACGTCAATTCTTCTTTGTCAGGTACTAAAATTATTTTTTTTGGGCATCTTAATAAAATTTTACCTAGTATTATTTAGTTTTACATTTTAAACTAGACAATTAGAACTAAAGCAAATCTCAAGTTTCTCTCATAAATTATATAAATGCAAAACAATAAAAGTTATGAAAGTAACACAATTTTACCATTATTACTTTTTTAAAAAGTAGAAAGTTGGTAATGTTTTTAAAATTGGAAACCTTGAATGCAATAAAGCGCAGCGTAGATTGTGGTAGCATTATGAGAAGACGATAAATAATGAGAATAACATAATAATAACACAAATATTATAGTGCTGTTTATTATTTGTTTCAATAATTATCAATTGCAGGTTCGTCTTGTAGAATGTAAATACACATTAAACACACTAGTTTATCTATATCACGTAGGATGAATATTATCTACTCGCTATATATAATGTTTTCAACATACTATATTTCATTAATAAGTACATTTTATACTAATAATTGCTTTTATTAAAAAAAAAAAATCATTTTATTTGTTTTTCTTTATCTGTGTTTTCTTTACCTTGTCAACACGATTTTGGATGTGAATCAAAATACTTACTAAAGACTTGCTATATTGGATGATTGTTTTTGTCTCAAAAACTGAATGCATTAACTAAAATTACATGTTTGCTGGAATGTAGAATTCCTAAAAAGTTAAATACACGTTTTCTACAATGTCTTTAATTTTTTAGACTTTTCTTGTTATCTGCACTATCGTACCAGACAGGATTTTCGATTTAGCCGAGTCAGAAGTACAGTTGGTTGTAAGTTTTGAGACTCGTGGATAAAGTTGAGTTTCTATTTGATTGTGTGAGAGAAAGAACCGCCAAAGGCAAAATTAGAACTTTTGATAGCAATGTCAATGCTACAACTAGCTACTAGACTTAACTAGGCAAATTTGAATGTGTTTTGTATCACATTCACGATAGAATAGATATTATGGAGGTTTGTCAGGGAGTCGGGAATATATATTTCTCTGGGTGGATACAAAATTATAAGAAAATGGACTAGTTAGTCGGATGTTATTTTGGGTCAAACACTGTGGAGAAACAACTTAGGAATTACATAAATTTGCGAAAAAGAGGTAGATTATAATTTATGTCCTTACATACTCCTTATACAAATTTTGTGGCCTATAATGTTTGTGCGGTTCTTCGGATATATGGGTTATGGTTCAACTAAAATCAATTGAATTTAAAATTAACGAAATGCCTCATTTATAGTCGACACTTAGCTATTTACATTCTACACGAAAAAAATATATATAAGTACGTGGTAGCCAAGTTACCCACAGGTTTTTTTGTGCTTCTTATTTCCAACTCTGATTGAAGAGTGGTGGAATTTAAAAATTTGGAAATCCGCGACATTAGGTACTCTAGGAGTCTTATCTTTCTAACGTTGTCGGTCTACTTACGGTTATAATAACAACTCGAGTATACAATTAAGACTATTATGCACTCGACGGTTTGGACTTAAGCAAACGACAAACGGTCTTGTCTGATCTGATCGTTTTTGGTATTCCGTCGGTCGTCTCGTCGCTTTGTGTACCGTTCGAAAACGACCGGCCGTGGATGACAGACACGTAGTGATAAATGGTCGACTGTTTAGCATGTGTATGGATATGTGCTGGTGTTAGTTATAGTCTTGGCGAGGCGGCCAGTTGATTGATTAACCGAACCGGTGTGGTGTGCTCGCCGTTGTTTATCTTCGCCGAGAACGGCGTGTGATAACCCCGGACACGGCCACGAACGATTACTGAACCGCGGGAGGTCTTATCTGTTGGCCCGTAATCCCATAAGGACTTGTGCTGGTTAAAGGAGATGATGGCGGTGTAATGGAAATCGCTTTGGAATTCTCTCTTCGCGTCGTATTATGATCCCTCGAAAAATTGTTACCAACGGATTTGATAATTTGAGTCAGCTCGAAAAGTTATGGCGCGTTTTGAAAAAAAAGATGTTTTATTCAACTTGGATCCATCTGTCTGACCGCCCCTCCCCTAAGATCAGGAAAGTTGTCATGGTCTAACAGGACGAGCCGGGTTAGGTTAAATGGCCAACGCTTAGAGTTAAGTGTGTCTATTATTCAGTGTTTGGAATAGGGTAAATAAATAATTTGTTGGTGCTCACGACGTCCATCTTATAAAAACTAAGTTCAGCTCTTGTTTTAAGTTTGAAGTAAGTTCCTATACTAAGAAACACATTTATTTTCTCAATTTTAGTTTATATAAAATATGTTTTTAACACAATTAAGAAGTGTTTTGAATCACTTAAAAACTAAGAAGAAAAAAACCAAAAGCTAGTTTTTTTCACAATAATTTTGAATTTAAATCTTAAAAATACACTTATAAACGAAGTATGTAATGTCTATATTTTCTGGGGTGAGAAGTCAAAGAATTGAGTAGACGGTTGTCGTTTACACAAATCTGGGTTGACGTCAACAAGCGGTATGTCGACATTTTTATTTATAATATTCATATTTGTTATGCACATAGACCCATATATTTGTTCTTCGAACTCGCATGTTTCTGCCAAAATGTGTAAAGCCTTTGGAAGTTTGATTTTTTTCAAACCGTAAACAAATTCATTAAGGTCGCATTTCTATGATTGAACGGTTATTATTAGTAATATTGTAAATTGCCTGTTCAGTCTAGGTATAACGTTTGGGTCAAGCCAACTTATTTTTTTTTTAGTAAAATCTAATAAATACATTTCTTGGCCACGTGTATAATTTAATGTTGAGTAGCGTATAAGACTATAAAAAAATCTAAAATGAAGTCAAGTAATTTGATATTTGTTAGTATTCTGTATACGGGCGTTAAAAAAAATAAAAAAATAGCCTCATACAGGTCCGGACACAGGATACGTTTCTAACATTTCTTCTTTAAATAATAACGTCATCGTTTAACGGATTCTGTTATGATAGATAGCACAAGAGACAGAGGCGGACACAGCAATACACTTTGACTTACTAATATCACGGCGGCGATGATGATTGCATTGCACCCGTTGCCTCGTGTAGTGTTAGTACTTATAATTATGCTGGTAGGGCGGCAAGGGGAAACGCTATATCTATTATAGTTGGGGTTAACGTCCAGTTTTTTGTTTTTTCTCTTTCTTCTTCGCTACTATTGGATGGCCGTCTGTACGTGTTGTGTTACATAATACACAAAAGTATTAAAAAAATATATATCAATTAATATCTGAGAAATATCACGTTTCAACGGTAGTGCCGTTATTATCGCGTGTACCCGCGATAACTCACACCAAAGGGATTTCGATATTTCTAATTCAAATCTAGATAAGGAGAACAGGGTCTAGACTCTAGAACGTTAGATTACGGTGCATAATAGTTTTATAGAAATATTATCCAGGATTAAATTTTTTTTTTTATTGCAACCCAAGAACCCGCATGTCCAAGTCGTCGACCATACAGACGTATACGAGTTTTTTTTTTAAATATTCTACTTAAACCACTGTAATGGGCTCAGGTATAATAGTAGCACAAGTAGGCACGTTACACCAGTAAAATACATTTTGTCGGCATTCCTCGGCATCGTCCGAAGTAAGGTGTAAAGAGAGCACGACCATCAGCTTTAGGTTGCAATCCCGTTCCAAGTTCCGCATTACATTTCTCGCGTGTACGCTTTACCACAGGAGGTATTCTGTTAATAAAATATGCATACATTAAACGATATATTTCTTTATCTATATTATTGGCACAAAGGATTTTACCATTTAGTTGCGCGTGCGTATGTATGTACGCTTTTGTTGGGCTTGTGTTGTATTGTACCAATGACCGGTCGTCGGCGGTTGAATGTAAATTGTGAAATTCCAGTTTTTGTAAAACCTAACATAAAAAACGTATGTATGTAGATGCAGGTGCGAGTGCACGATACTGATCTGCTTGTCAATAAATTACACTTTCAAATTCCAAGTCTGCTAGATATAAGACACCGAGCAGACGTGGAAAATAGTATAATAATATAAAATGAACCCTCTTGGCGTTTATTTAAATAAAAATATTGAACGATTATGATTTTTTGGTATCGGTAATCCGCATACAGACAGCACATTAACGCACGGTCCTAATAGTACACTGTTTCAGTACAAGTGTACGACTCTATGAGCAAGAGATACGTGAATTACCCGTTTAAGAAAACTGTACTGTAGCAGTGCTTTTTATAAGTAATAAAGTGTTATATTATATTCTACAAATTTCATTAAAAATATGAACTATAATACCGGATGAAAGCAAGTAAATTATAATAATACATTGATTTAAATCTCAGTAGACCATAAAAACGGGCACTAAAAATACTTTTTTCTGGTGTTAAGTATCATTAATGTTTTAAATATTTTTTTTAATGGAGTTTTAAATTGGTTTCCCATGTACCTTATATTCCATTATTACGCGTAATTACTAATTTATATTATCATTTTATTCAACACTGTTCGTGTACCGAAACCGTTATCTTTTCATCTCTTTCATTCGGTCTTGCGGTTGAACGTTCGTAAAAAAAATATTAATATTAAAACCTA